AAAACATAAAAATTATCATAAATCATTTAAATTTTAAATATTATTATTTTAACATGATATAATAAAATAATTTAGCTATATTTTTACAATGTAACAATAATAAAACAATACAATTAAATTATAAAATTGTTTTTTAAGCGACAATCTATATCACTTATTTAATTCTCTGATTTACTAATAATCATTTACTGAATTTTTTTTCTTTTTTTTCCGATTAAAATTAACAAACGAATTACCTTAACTTAAAAATTAAAATTCATTTGAAGTACTTTTAAATTTATTATAAACTGTAAAAAACATTTCCCGACAACTTATTTTAACTTTTAACTTGGCACACAATAAAAATACACCGGATAATTTTCTATGTAGTGAATATATTTCTTCGGGGGGAGGACAAAGTCTTTCGGTAACAATTGTCGGTACCAATTTTTGAATTCTTCTCGTCGTGTCTTGCAATCCAAAATCAAATGCTTTTTCTGCAGAAAATACTTCGGCCAAAATCATCACGGCATCCACGTGTGCATTTTGCATTTTCTGAAAAACGAAAAACAATTATTATTATTATTATTAATAAAATAAATAATGACATTTCTTCACCTTCACGTTAACACTTTCATTATTTTAACACAATTGACACATTTAAGTCACAATATTATGAGAAAACATTATCGAAAAAAAAAAAAAAATGAAAAAATTCAATGTAATCCATGAGTACCGTAAAAGATAAATGAACTTGTTGAATTAAATTGATTATACAATTTAATAATTATGTAACGTACTTTTGATTCGTAACCGGTGAGAAATCCCATTTCTTTTGATATATTTAAAACGGCTTGTCTATCACCTTCGGCCGCTGCTCTTATGTTTTCAATGTACTTTTTAACAAATTCATATTCGTACGATCTTGTCGCTCCGAAATCCAACAAACACATCTGAAGTTATAAATTTACGTATTATTTACATAATCAAAAAAAAATTTTCTATACACAATACATAACAAATAAAATTTTACTTTTTTGCTAGTAGGCTCGTAAAAAAAATTTGACCAATTCGGATCGGTTTGCATGTAACGAAATTCGAATATTTCTCTCAGGCATAATTGCATAATTAATATACAAACATGTTCTCTGTCCTTTTCAGGAAGATCAGCACACTGATCAACTGGTATTCCTTCAATTAGAGTGCTAGTAAAAATTTGTTTTGTTGAAAGTTCGTCTGAAACAATTTGTCGTAAAAAAAAATATTAAAACGAAATTTTATTTTATTTTTATTGTTCGAAATTGATATTATACCTATTACATCAGGCACGACGTAGTCAGGGTACGGAAGTAAAAGTTTTTTAAATTTTTTAGTACATTCTGCTTCTCTTTCATAATCAACTTCCCATGAAAGCTCTCTTTTTGCTACTTCAACTAAATTGTCTATGAAAAGCCCTAAAAATTTTTACTCATAGAAATAAGCAAGCATTCACAAATTATTATTAATTTTATTAAGAAAGCATATATTTACCTTCTGGAAAAACATTCCATACTTTTAAAATACCGACTAAATTATTAATGTCACTTTCGATGCCTTGAGCAACACCTGGATATTGTATTTTCATGGCACATTCTCTACCATCTTTTAAACGTATATAATGTACTTGACCGATTGATGCTGCTGCAAAAGGTTTTTCCTCAAAGTGACTCAATTTATCTTTCCAATCGGATCCAAGTTCAGTATTTAATACTTTCTATTT